TCTCTCGTGAAAACCAAATTGATTTGCAAATGAGGGTATTTCTCTAAATTTTCCCTTGATTTTGTTGATCAGAAGCATTCGGGTCAAAAATTTTCATGCGAAATTGGTGAATAATAAACCATCTGGTTTTCTCCCATATTTTATTTCCTTGGTCCAACATCTTTCGTCGAAACTAGATTTACCACAAAAAGAAAACGCACCAGCTTTACTTGTTTGGGGGGGGGGGTTGCGGGCATTTGAAACCTGTCCTATTCAGCTTTGGACAGTAAGGTAAAGGATGAAGGGTAGTAGTAAGAGACTTAAAAATCCGTAACAGATAGGCTTGTACGAGCAAGAACGTCGACTAAGGAATGACTAAGGAAAAGTATTCGTTAGCTGAATGAGGTACACAAAAGGCGCTTCAATTTAAAGTTGACGCGGTATGCTAGAAATCGCAGGGTATTTTCTTGACAGAACATACTACTGAAAACTTTGCGGGAGCCCATGAGAGATTCAGGCGAGATTCACCTAAACCTCCCGTTAACATGCAATCTGGTGTTTAAGTAGAACATAAGGTTGACGGGAACTCGGGGACTGAGGCTACCTAACGAGCCTCAATAAGGACAAAACTGGTCACAGGCTGTGGAGGAGTTTTCAGCAACCTTATGAGTAGCATATTCCGTCAGTTTGTTCATGTTTTAGTTCAAAAACTGATTCCAATCTGATCAGCGTGCAAAAATCGATGTAACGCTAATTAATCTATCCCTGATAAACATCCTGTTCTGAGTGATTGTCTTCCAATTTGAGGACAACTAAGCATTGTATATTGAGGCTTGACACTACCGTAGGAACTGAGATTAGTAGCCGCTTACTCAGCTGTGACTGACGAGGAACAATATGGTGGATTCTCCAGCAGAGGGGACTTTCTTCAGAGTAGTTCCTCGCAGGTTAAAAGTGATACAGATATGACTGTATACGGGAAATTGATAGAGCTCCATAGCTGTTGTGGTTGAGTCACTGGCAGGGTTAAAAGGGGAGGAATGGATCTATAGTGAAACGTGTGGACATTGAAACCGTCTCAGCTGCTCTTTCTTTCGTGAACAGAGGCCTTCCTTGTCACCTGAATCCATAAGACAAAACAACAATGACAACAACAATTCAAAGTAACAACACCCGCCTACTGAACTGACAAACAAAAGTCTGACTACACCGTGGTAACCAATGTCGGGTTTTTTGTCGAAGCACAGAAGGATAAGCGGTCAGGCATTACAGATGGTGGTGATGATGCTGATGATGATGACAGTGTGCTGTCGCCGTCGGTTTGCATGCTTCTAACGAATTCCACAAACATCAGCCGACAATTCAACTGGCGGTTGAATAACACCCACCGTCTGCAATCAGTGGTAAAATGAAGTGTTCACCACAAAAAGGACTGGAATGCATTCACGGACCAGTGTGCATGTGTATTTGGAAGCAGCTAATCGCTGTCTGATTTGATGGTACATATCAACCAGATCAAAACAAAACGTTCGAACCTGCCGGAACAATGGTTGTAGATTGTGGTGAACTGTGCGAGAATAGCGTGGAATGTTGTGCTGCTGGAACGATCCTTGGGCTGACTGTGGAGGGCTCAGCATACCAATGCTACTGGCACTTCATGGATCAGATGGCATGGCATCCAGAATCTGGAGTCACACATTTTTCTCACCATCGTTCTTATCCACTACGGGCAAATACCGATATATTGCTCGTTTATTTGTTCTGTGTGACTGATTGTCTTGTGGATCTATCTGTTGGTTCATCTTCAGGCGATTCAAAGGTGCCATGATATGCCGCTCACGGGTTTGTGGGTCGTGGACGTCTCATGATACATGAGTATTTTTTATACCGAAAACCATCGATGCGTGGTACAATAAAGCCCTCGGGCAGGTTCCTTCTTTAGCGGAGAGGTAAATTTGCTGGGAAGTGAAGAAAATCGTCTTCCAACGGACAGCGTGACACCCCGTACATGATTGCAGAGAATTACAGTAACCATAACCCTAAATATGTCGTCATTATTCTATGATTCGCCTCGTTCGTTTACATCCAGCGGCATACATTTTACTCGCTCTTGTGTAGTTGAGACGTTGTTCAATTTGTGCTGGGGTGTAGTCCTTTCAAATGGGTTGGTTTTGGAACACAAAAGTTTAACCACGATGACGCTAATCCGTTCAGTCACTCGAGTGACGATCTCCCGGAAAAATATCGTGGACGAATTATTGGCGCAGTGTGCATGCTTCACCGTCCTCGCTGAGTAAGACAACCGTCTTAGTGTTCTCTTCTGGTCTCCAGTTTCAAACTCTACCCGGTTGATGAAATTACCTTCCCTTAGACACCCCTGAAATACAGTAATACCATTAAAAGGAAGAAGGCCTTCGCTGCGGAGTTATTTATTAGAGAATGCCAAATGACTAGTTACAGACTATAGGGAAGCGAAACTCTCATATACATCTTGTTTACAAACACTGAACATCCATCTTCTCTTGAACGCGTCTTCCTAAACTTTCCTGGATATTCATTGACTGTTGCTCAAATCCAAGTAAATGCTATAAAGCGACGCCACGAATTCTGCAACAGATCTCCCTTTTCAATAGACCCAAAGCGAATTTGCGAGAAGAAAACATACTACTCGCATGCCTCCACCATGAGTAGTATCACCGTTACACCATGTCCTAATGGTGACTGAAACTACCACACGGTGGTTTTTAGTTCGATTCTCTCCATAGCATTCTCCTTCTATGATTCTATGTGGCATTGGTACCGTTGAATTTGCTGGGTCTCGCTCAAGTCCGAGCAGAATTCGTGAAACTCCACCTAACGGCTTCCACCATCCAAGCTGTTACTCCCTAATCTCCGCAGTCTGAATACTTAAGAAAGTGGAACAAAACGATCCGTCTGATTCTTTGAATCTGCGGAAAAGGGTGACTTCAGGTAAGACGTCACTTGAGCTAAATGTGTCGATCACTCTGTGGAAGACTGTCTCGTCCAACCTATTCAGGTATTTTCTACTCAACAGTTCGATATGATCTGCTTAGGTTAGTTGCTTAGCAAGTACTAACACCTCCAGTGTTGTGAGTAATATTAGTATTGCAGTAGTATTTGACCGGGTAGTCTGCAACAAAGTTTTCACCTTTTCTTGCTTCTTTTCTTCACAGTTTCGTTGAAAGAGAATAACGACAGGCATAATATTTTCTGTGTGGTAGCTGCCGCATCTATGGGCCAAACCAAAGTCATGTTTCTGGCATCGGTCCAATTAAGCCCTTTGGCTGATCAGACTCACACATGAATGACTGCCAGCTACGCTTACTTACACCTGTTTATTTATGTTGGTGTGCCTCTAATGCGGTGTATACACTTACACGTGCATGGGACTGGGGCAGTTGATGCACACGATCTAGCCTAAAGACGTTGATGCAGTTTTCCCCACGCATTGTTCAAGAGACTGACTACACTTGTACCTGGTCACCATGACGCCTGTTTTCATAAGCAAGCCGGTGCACGCTCGCCAAAACACTTCGCGTAAAATGTCATGCGACAAAAGCGTGGGTAAACAGGCAGGTGAAAACAGGATTAAGCTTGCCCACTATTAATCAGACTATCAATTGGCATAGACACACACACACACGCGCGCGACCTTGTCAACTGTCATCTGTTAGGAGAACCGGATCCCGATTCATGAGAGAACAGAGATTAGAACTGTTCCCTCTTTGGCCGAGCCCGGTTACTGACGAAGTCAGGAACCTGAACACGTTAGATGCGGATCGCGTTCCCCAGATAAACTGTTGACCATAGTAACTCATCGCTCACAATGCACAAGTAAGTGAACCGCTCACACTGTTTATTGTTCCGTTATTTATGATTAGCCCTCACGCACCGTGTGTCACGTCAGGAGCAAATTTACGCACCTGATTTT